CCGTGGAAACGAACACTATTGACTTTTGACAATTAATGTGAAAAACTGGAAGTGCCATTCAGATCTTCCAAATAAGCAAGCCTCTATGTACAGTGAGCTGGTATCCTGCCTGTGTTTCATCCCTGAACTGTAAACACAGACGGCAGAATCGGTGCGGAATGGAGTGGGAATCATCAGTACTGTGCTCCATTTCGCCAAGTAAAAAGGAACATTTTGATTACCGGAGGAACTAACATGTTCCTTTTTAAATCAAAAACCTTCTTTTGATTTAACACCCCAACTTATGAAGAACCATAAAACAATCCTAAACTTCAACAGAGAAAAAAAACAAATCGTGAAATTGACCAAAAAAGGAGATTTTTTTCCCACGAAGGAGAACTTACGTTCATTATCAGTGAATTCATTGAGCTTTTCAGTACTTTTGACAAACGGGAATTTACGTGAAAACGACAGCTGTGAACGTGAACCACGTCGTCCATCCATACCACGTGGCAAACTTTGGCTGCCCGCGTTGAAGTTTACCTGTTACGAAAAATATTACATTGGATATATATCAAAGTATAAATAAATTTTAGCTACAGTGGTAGTGAAGAGTTGCCTCCTATACTCGCAAGAAGTCGATCAGGGCCACGGCAAGTGTTACCAAACCGCCAACCATCGGCAATTTATAATTTGGCCAATCAGAAAAGTTGGGGTCGGCTAAAGTCTGTGGTAGGAGAGGAAGATTGGAGGAGAGGGCAGAAGGATGAGGATGAGAAGGAAGGAAGTTGAGAATGCAAAAAATATCAATCTAACCTGCTTTCGCCTCTGTCGTTCCTTTTTTTCAACGCGTTTCTTTGATGGAATAACACCTTCCAGGCCTTCTTCACCATTTTCGGTCACCACACGTGCAGTCCACCAGTCATCGTCAGCTGTGTTCGTAACGTGCAGAATATCGCCGTAGTAGAAAGAGAGAGCACGATGCGGGACGCCTGCTTCACGTGATGGATCGTAGTCAAACATCGATCTGATCGTAGTCAAATAACGGTAAATTAATCGTATTTTTTTTTTAAGATAACTAAAAAAAAAGGTTTTGAGCAATTACTCAAATCCAGAATTTCCCTAACTTACATCCATCAGTCCTATAAAAACACAGTTCACGCGAAATTAGTCTTCCTGCCCGTTCGTTGCCGTCTACAACAATTCCCGGTAGCCTTTACCTAGCTTCACCAACCAACCAGTCACCGTTACCGTAGCTGTAGCAGTCCATAAAACCACACTACAGCCACGCCAATGCAGCCTGCGAAGACATTGTTAATTTGTGCAGTTGTTCGAAGACCAAAAGTGGCGCTTGCGGTAGTGAATCTTGGAAGGAATTCCTACTGGAACAGCTCGAATTTAGCCTTGTTGTCAGTGCATGGCAATGAATTTGAATCGAGCTATGTTCAATAGAAAGACACACAACCGTACAACTTGTGTCCCATAAACATAGCCCTTCCTTTTCTTTACGTCTTCCTCTTTTCTTTTCCTTTTCCACTAAACACTGCGACCGTCATATCGACGAGGTCCTTTTGCAGCGTTGAATTAAGACGAAGCATATGACTTAATGGATCGAAGCGTCTTATCTCATTCTTGCCTCCTTTCCTCATACTGTTTCTGCTTTCTGTATCCAATGCGCCTTCGACGCTTGGCATCCAAGGTCAACCTGGATGCTACAATCGGCTTATGTGAAAAAAAAAGCCGCTAAACCCAACAGAATAAATGGTACCTGATAAAAAGTTCTTTACGTGGTGCACCATATGTCACCAAACCGCCACTCATCATGTCTCGACGAAGTTGCTCAATTTTAGCTTCGAACTGCGCATATTCTGAAAAATTATTTACACCATGCTGCTCATTTTTCCATAAATTAAAGGAAACCAAAATAAAAGAAACTGTGAAAGTGAAATATAAAGTTCTAAAAGAAATTTAGAGCAATTTTCAGAAAATAGGCAGAAAAAACCGACAAAATACAGGACGGTAAAAGACACCCATGCTCTATTATAACAAAAACGGGATTGTCAGTGAGATGGAAGGAACCACTGGAACATTTCTGTGAAATTATCTAAATGTGAAAAGCTTAGGACAGTGCAAAATGGAGGAGTTACTCAGTCGTACCAGCAGCCACAAAGGACAAAACGATGGGAAAGCAGTGCCAAGGTAAGCCAAAATCGAAAATTAAAATTTCGCCCATACCCACTAAGAGGCCCAAATGCACTCTGAAATATTCAAAGTGTATGTACAAGCTGAAACCAACTAACATAAGTAAAACAACAAAATCGCATACCTTGCGGTCGATGTTGT